CATACAGCTGTTTTGTAGTATACGTAATCACCATGAATGGCTTTTTCAAGCCAACAGCTTCTCAGAACTATCATAAAACAGCGTCTCAGTCATCAGGCAGTGAATTCATAACCATTTCATGTAGTAACTTTCTGTGAGGGAGCTTTTAGAGGTGGACGTTTCTGTAGAACTGAGCGTTTCACACCAAACCACTCTGAATCAAACATTTTTGATGCACGCTTAAATTTTAATAGGTTTTATAATGTATGACTGTCAGCTTGGATCAGAAGTTAAATTTGAAGTGTCCTTTTATCAAATATTCAGATATATTCACAATTAAAATACAGATTTTTCAAGTTGAAGATAAGGAAATGAGTGGGATACAGAACTGCAGTGAACACCATTTTCTATCACAATATAACCTAAATCCAGCCTAAGAGGGGACTAAACATCCCTAAAACAGTGTCTCAGACTTCAGACAGTGAATTCATAACCATTTCATGTAGTAACTTTCTGTGAGGGAGCTTTTAGAGGTGGACGTCTGGTTCCTATCACCACCACTGTGAACAGTTCTGACTCGGTAAGTTTCTCTAGAACAGAGCGTTTCACACCAAACCACTCTGAACGACTCTGTTTACATCTTAATCAATTAATTATGAAGAAATTTAGAAAAATTGGTGGAGTTCTCCTTTACACTTCTATTGTGGTTGATCTAGGTTGAATGCAGTGCAGCTCACAACTTGCCCATCTGTGAATAATCAACTGCTGAACTGTATCAAATTTAGACCGTCAGCAGAGAAGTTTCAACAAGTTGAGCGAGAAAGGAGAACGGATTTAATAGTGATAGACTGTGAGATGAGAGATTAACCGAGCTCATTCCGTCAAATGTTGGATCATTTGAGCTGTGAAGCTGAGAGATGTTTGTGTGGGAAAAGAATGCTGGCGTGATCTTACCAGACGATGACATGGAGCGCGATGTAAGATGGGCTGTTGAAAGATGAAGAGCTTCTGCTTTTTACAAGAGAATGAGCCACTGGATGAGAGATGGGCGTGGCTATGTAAATAAGCGGGTATCGGAACTCATCTTAGCGTTCGGGTATTTGAATAAAGCGTGAGTAGCTTGGAATAAGAAGTGATGAAGTGGATTTTTTTTTATATTTTTAATGCAGAACTGCAGAGAATGCTGCTGTGTCTGATCCACTCAGACCAGCGCAACACACACTAACACACCACCACTGAAGAACAGGGTAAAAGGGAGCTAACAAAGTATCAGAGAAACAGATGGACTACAGTCTGTAACTGTAGAACTACAAAGTGCACCTATATAGTAAGTGGAGCTGATAAAATGGACAATGAGCGTAGAAACAAGGAGGTGGTCAGAATGTTATGCCTGATTGGTGTTTATTGTTTTTTTTGGTCACCTGAAACCCAAAAACCCAATGATAAGCTCTTAATCCAGCTGCATGCAAACAAAAGCTGAGCTGGCCACGTTTATACAGTGTTCAAAAACTACTTGTTTGTAAAATGCAGACGTTCAAGTAGCAAAACCGATTGAAGGGGGTTAAATGGTGGCCCCTCCTCTGGATGTGAGATGGAAATGGAGTGAAACCTGAGAGCAGATAGACTTTCTGCCTGAACTTGGTGACACGGATGTTGAAGCAATGTTTGGACTGAGTAAACAAGGCCGAGTAAACTTTCTCAGCCAGTCTCTGTTATTGCAGCTGGCTTTCTCTCTCACCTGGCCCTCCCGCTCACATCCTGCTGTACTAGCCGGCCCAGAATTCATGAGTGTATGATTTATTGTGTTGGGCACTGCTTTTAGCCAACACAGTAAGATGTCATATTGTACAGAACAATGTGGTACAGTACAGTATATGGTACAGTGTGTGGGTGTGTGTGTGTGTGTGTGTATACATATATATATATATGTGTGTGTATATATATATATATATATCGCTGTTGAAACAAAACCTCATATCTCCATTTTTGTCATTTTTCAGTTTTTGACATAATTTGAAAATGCCTGTTGCCCTTTACATTGTGGGTGAATTTTACGATAATTGGACCAAAACAAACGACCCAAAATGACTTGGAAAAATGTCTGGTTCCATTGACTTACATTAAAAGTGAAGTAGGTTTTTTCCTTTAGAAAAAGTTACCATTTTGGAGATACGAGGTTTTGTTCAGACAGCAGCGATAACGTTTTAAGTGTATATATATATATATATATATGTATGTACATACACTTAAAACAATGGTTCTTCAAGGGTTCCTTAGTAAAGAAAAAGGTTCAATATAGGAGGACCATGAACACTCAAAGAACCCTTTGCATGATTAAAGGGTTCTCTGCATGGTGAAAGCGTTCTTCAGATTGATGGAGAATGTGTTGTATATGGTTCTGTGTAGAACCTTTTTGAAAAGGGTTCTGTATAGCACCAAACAGGTTCTTCTTTTATAAAAAGCTAGACATTTTGGTGCTATATAGAACACTTTTCAAAATGGTCCTATAAAGAACCATATACAGCATATTCTTTATTAATCTGAAAAAATATTTTACAGTGCAGAGAATCATTTAAACTTGCAACGGGTTCTTTGAATTTTCATGGTTCCATGGTCCATTTTCTTTACTGAAGAACCGTTAAAGATCTCTCTCTCTCTCTCTCTCTCTCTCTCTCTCTCTCTCTCTTTATATATACACACACACACAATATGAGACAGTATTATACTATACGATAATATACAACATGATATGGTACAATATAACATGTCATATGATGGAAGATGGCATGTTGTCATGTTGTGGGTACCTTATTGTCCGGTTTGTCAGACTTGTGAGCTTCTGTGCTTCCTAAGCTGTTTTGAAAGCTCTTAATAATTTAGTTTCCTTCCCCTTTTTTGATTCTGACTTGTGTGGACGTTCAGAGTCATCAGGGATGTTTTGCTGGATGTTATGTTTGTTGAAGCGAGTTTAAACTAGAACCGCAGACTAGATTGAACTCAGAGTTAGAGAACGTCTGGCCCAGATCGCTTCTGTTCTCTTTCCAAATGAAATTTGGAGGATTATTTTGTAGATTTGGGCAGATTATTGATTCCTGGCTTGATGTGAGCTGAACATAATGGTGTCACTAACATAATAAGATTACTTTGGAATTGCTCGCTGTAGAAAGGCCTTATATTGAACTGCATCTGTAGCTGTTCATTTACCCAGTGACACTGATCACCGTTCCCCCATCAGGTCATAAGAAATGATAAAATACAGTGCGATGCAATTCACTACAGTGTGATACTCTGAATCATCACATTTCTATGTTTGTACCTCTGTATATTTAGAGTTGAGGCAGAAAATAGTGCCTGTGTAATTATATTAATATTTTTGAAATATTAAGGTCTTTATATTAATATCCCAGACATGGATTAAGAATTGCCTTGGCAGTGCTAAAGGTGAATCACCATTTGAAATTCTTTTGAATCTAGGCTTAGACTTAAAGGGGACATGCACCAATTTATCAAAATTTCTACATAATTAAAGTCACTATATGAACAGCATCATTCAGAGTGGTTTACTGTGAAATACTCTGTTCTGGAGAAACTCACTGAATTGTTCACAGTGGCGGTGATAGGAACCAGACGTCTGAAGAGTTTAACACCAGATTTTCCACTGTTTTACCATCATCAACATTATATCTAAACCTCAGGAGACTCGTGTAGGTTCACTGCTGGTTTTGGATAGTAAATAAAACGTCTATATCTGTGTTGTAGTCATGGCGACCCCTGGTTCCTATCACCACCACTGTAAAGAAAGCTGAACGATTTCTCACCAAACCACTCTGAATCACTCTGTTTACATCTCAACCGCTGAATTATATAGAGATTTTGAAATATTGGTGGATGTCCCCTTCACCAGCCTGAAGAGTTTGTTCTCTCTGTGCTCTAGTTCAACCCTCTGTTTGGCTTTTTTGACAAACATCCCAGTTTAATATAGAAATCACAGTGTAATACAATGCTAATTAAGACACATGAGACTCATTTAGTGAAAAAGACCCAGTTTTAGGGTGAGTAGTGTAGCTGGATGGTGTATGATGCCAGCCAAAGAGGCTTGATTGCAAAAGATGGCAAAAAAGAGGCTGTATTGAAGCCAAAGATGGCACAATGACAAGATACTACACTATACAGAAGCCTGTACTGGGAGCGATATAGCATATTCTGAGTTTTAGCACCAGTACGTCAATTTTTAGCCTATATAGATATTAACTGCGTTCCAATTCAGGGGCTGCATCCTTGGAAGGATGCGGTCTGTGAAGGCGTGTCCTTCGAAGACTGTGTAGGCCCGCGAAGGCTGAACTGAAAGGAGACGGTCTGCTCTACGGTGGATTCCCTGTTGGCGTCACGAACCGCCGCTCCTGTCACGTTCTTTTAAAGTTCTTTAAAGATGGAGAAACTTTGATTTAAAATTTTATTTTTGCATTTTTTAGAGCTGGAGATGCTTCTCTTGGTTCTTTGCTCCCTAAAACAAAACGAAACATTAGCGCAAGTTTTGTTTCAGTCCACTTTGGCTTTTTTAACTTTTGCATCATTAGCTATTTGACTTGCATTTAAAGTGTCTCCTCAGCCGTCGTTCGCTCCTCTGCTGACGCCACCATGTTCTCGAATCCTCGCCGGTTGGCTGGCGAGGGTCCACTCATTGGATCCTTTGTTGCCACGGAAAAGAAGGACTCATTTCTCGGCCGCATATGAAGGAGCCTTTGAAATGGGACGGCCTAGTCGCGCCGCTGTGATGCAATCGGCCTTTAAATGCAGCCTCCGAAGGACGCAGCCCCTGAATTGGGACACAGCTCTAGTAGGAGGACCGTGCATTAATGAATGACCAAAATAGAGACTTTGTGTAATTGGATACAATAAAAACAGTGATTTTGAAAGTTAATACATATAAAAGTCCCACAAAACCTGAACTTTGAACCGTATTTCGACACCACAGTTACACTGCTGTGACTTCATTGTTGGCACCGCTCCTCGATGAAGTGCTACGTGATATCTACAAAGCTGACATTCTCTGATCTGTCTGCGGGCTCGTCTGAGTCGTGGCGTCTGACTGATGTGCGTGTGGAGACTTTTTTGACTTGGTGGTTTTTGCCATGAAAAGCAGTATCAGTCGGCTAATCCTGACGCCACTTTCGGTATGTAGGTCAGGCTTGGAGCGCCTGACGCCGTTCGTAATCTCAGGGTTTTCCCGCCCTTTTTTCTCCTGCAAACTAATCCAAGTCAGACTTCGCTCCTTTCTTCTTCATCTGCAGAGGGAGGGAGGAGTTAAAGGGCCCATACCCTTCAGTTATAACATTTGTGTGACATTTAAAGTCGTAATTCGTTTTATTCGTTTTTTCCAGCCTCATTTTGCCACTGCCACTTTAGAGACTGGACTATGTAAATGAGCTCTGTTCTGATTGGCTGTTTTGCACCTCATTCAAAAAGCAGTCTGGGCGGAAACACTCCTTATAACCTTGGCTTTTCAGTTTGATTGGGCGGGGCTAAACTGCTGCAGGCTGAATAGGTGGATATATGTAAATGAGTATTATTTTTTGTGACATCACAAATGCAGTTTTTGCATGGTGGTCCACTTATAACATTACCAAAAGGTTATGACTCAATTTTTGTATAAGCATTTTCCAGCCTTTGTTTATCTTGTGACTTTAAGACTGATGTATGCAAATGAGCTCTGTTCTGATTGGCTGTATTGCACCTCATTCAAAAAGCAGTCCGGGCTGAAAAGCACCTTATAATTTCATCGTTTCAGTTTGAGTGGGCGGGGCTAAACTGCTGCAGGCTGAATAGGCGGATATATGTAAATTACTTGTTTCTTGTGACACCACAAATGCAGTTTTTGTAGCTTAGGTGTTCATATGTGGACGGTACAGGTGTTTAAAACTTTTAAAGGGCCCATATCCATGTTTTCAGATCTTATATTTATTTTTTATATATCTTATATTTTATATTTTCATATCTTATATTTATTTTTTTTCCCTTATGGTCCACTTATAACATTAGCTGTACCAGAAAGGGTTATGATTAAATTTTTATAAACATTTTCCAACCTCTCTTTATTTTGTGCCTTTAGGACTGATGTATGTAAATGAGCTCTGTTCTGATTGGCCGTATTGCACCTCATTCAAAAAGCAGTTCAGGCTGAAATGTTCCTTATAACCTTTTCTTTTCAGTTTGAGTGGGCGGGGCTAAACTGCTGCAGGCTGAATAGGTGGATATATGTAAATAACTTGTTTTTTGTGACATCACAAATGCAGTTTTTGAAGCTTAGTTTTTCATATGTGGACTATATAGGTGTTTAAAACGTTTTAAAGGGCCGATATCCATGTTTTTATATGTTATATTTAATTCAAATCCAATCTTTCTATCAGCATTTTCCAACCTCTATTTATCTTGTGCCTTTAAGACTGATGTAAATGTAAATGAGCTCTGTTCTGATTGGCTGTGCCTCGTTAAAAAAGCTCTAAGGGCTGATAAACTGGTTTTTGTGACATCACAGAACCAACAGCTTCAAAACAAGCTGTTTAAAGGTGTTTTCGGACGTCAGACTCACGTCTTTATCGTCAAAAACAGTGCAGCGAGTTCCGTTTTCCGTGATATGGGCCCTTTAAAACCACACAAGACGCGCCACCTGAGAGCTGATCCTCTTTGAGGCTGTTTTTTTGGCCGTTGCGAAGCCGTGACTCACACACAGTTAGCTTTTTGTTACTTTATCATGCACAGGCCTTCTTTATGATGGAAGACCTGGAGGGCTCTTCTGTGGCAGCTCTTCAGATGTGGCCTTGTTAAGATCTCGCTTTCACCACTGTTGCTTTTGGCTCGGTCTCAAGCTCAGTGGTTGGATAGAGGTGCGTCTGTATACCTGCGGCGTGAGTAATGGACTAATCAACACCTCGTCAGCTTGAAGACAGAATGGAATATCTCTTAGCCTGCAAGATACTGTGGCCATTGTTTGCTGGCTGTCACTCTTGCTTGTGTGAGGCAGGTTGACCCACCACACACATACTAGCAGTGGGTGTGGTCATGTAGGGCCTATTGTGCGCCAAGATAAGACAAGTCTCGGAGGAAGGTGTTTACTTAGTGAATGCTGTTATTAAATAATCCGCATTATGTGTACAATGCTTTGCAGGAATGACTGACCACCTACACGGTAGCAGTAAAGGAATAGTTTGGCAAAATATCGAATTAACTCATTTATCTCCCTCCTCCCAGATGGACTTGACATGTTTCGTGTCCAGATTGTGCTTTTTTTTTGGTTTAGCACTGTAGCTGTGAGGCTAACCAACGCTAAAAGTCAGTAGAAGTATTTTATTATTAGTATTATTGTTATTATTATACTACATATTAATAATATAACATTATTAATATATTAATAATAATTCTAGTAAATAATCAGATTTGTCTAAAATTTTATTTTTCTTATCGCTTACTGTCTAAGTTGGTTAGTTTACTTTATTTCAATGTGTTTTCATCACATATTTTATTGACATTTTATGCATGTTTACTATTTGAGCTGTTTTTAAATTAAATTTTATTATTATTACTATTTTTATAATAAATCTTTTGATCTTGATGATTTTCATTTGTGTTAGTTGATCTTTATTTCACCTTTATTTGCTCAGCTACGTTCGAAATAAAGTCGAAAATAAAGGTTGATTGATTGAAGTCAATAGTCACCCAAATCTTTTTTCCATAAAAACAGCCCCAAAACTTCTCTCAACCTGCTCAAACCTTGTCCAGCTCTTCATTAAGGTGGACGCAGAGTTGCTGGACTATGGTTTAGGACACTGTGAACTATAAAAATGCTGTATGTATGAATTAAAGTGGCTCGCCACAGCATTCAGCTACACAGTGCTCATTTTATAGCACACAGTAAGTCATACTGCATCATAGTCTCTGCGCAACTTTAGTGAAGACCTGGATGTGGTTTTAGAAGATTTAGAGACGTTTTACAGGTAACACTTTCTGTGAATGTCATGTTTGTAAGCATCCATAAACACATTTATAACATGTTATAAAGCATTCATAAGGCATTATAAACATGGTTATAAATATTTATAAAAGTGAATTACACTTTATAGCCATGCTTATTATACATTATGAATTGTTAATATAATGCATTATAAGTAGTGTTAATAACATGTTATACTGTCAGTGCCAAAGGAGTCAGTCCCAGCTTGGAGAGCGTAAATAAAGACACATACAAAGTTTATTTACGCCCTGATTTACAGTATTATATTTCTCAGCGTTGATGCTATTAGGGCTCTTCGGGGCTTCAGTCCTGAATATTAAGATGCTCCAAACAGGCTGTCCAGCCTAGAGTTACTGCTACAGTGTGCTTTTCTTACCCAGTGGTCTCAATTTAAATGTTTACTTTAAACTCTGACATTTGAAGCCTGTAATGAGCTTTACTGTGTATGTTTTAGTGTTTCAGTAAATCCTTCAGTAACACTTTCTATGAATGTCGCATTTGTAAACATCTATAAACACATTTATAACATTATAATGCCTTCATACGGCATTATAAACATGATTATAAACATTTATAAAAATGAATTACACTGGATTACACTTTATGGCAATGTTTATTATACATTATAAATAGTTAATATAATGCATTATAAGTAGTGTTGATAATGTTATACTGTCAGTGCCAAAGAAGTCAGTCCCAGCTTGGAGAGCGTAAAGTAAAGACAAATACCAAGCTAACGGTGGTGTACATTACCTTTCCCACATTGGGTAAAACACTGATGGCAGCTCTAGTTTAAACTCTGACATTTGAAGCCTGTAATGAGCTTTACTGTGAATGTTTTAGTGTTTCAGTAAATCCTTCAGTAAATACTTCAACTTGAAGCCTCACTCTGAACACTGGAGGAGGCTTTAGTACAGTACGCTTCACTTTACTTAGAGCGGACAAATACGACTTATGAGCTCTTATAATGTGTTATGAACAGTACTTATAATGCGCTGTGTTAACAATTCATAATGCATAACAAACATGGCTATATGTAATGCTGTAATGCATTTTTATGAATATTTATAGCCATGGTTATAATGCCTTATGAATGCTTTATAACATGTTACGAATGTGTTTATAGATGCTTACAAACGTGACATTCATAGAAAGTGTTACCAAAAAACCTCACCTCACAGTGTTGTGGCTGATGGACTGCGTCAGGCGAAGGTGCAAAACTGTGTAAGTCTGAGTTTTCGTCTTCTGTTCCTTTGAATGCTGTAGCACATTACATGCCGAGATGAAGCCGTAGTGGAGGAACGCCAAGGTGTTCTGAATCACACGTTTAGTATATGTTGTTATTAAATAATGCGAATTATGAGGCCAATATTTTGAGGAACTGGCCATTTTGTGTTGTGTTGCGTCTCGGCAGGAGAGATGGAAATATTTGATTAGTCATGTAAACACCATCAGACTCTTGGCAGGTCTTTTGGTGCCGGAGCTACACTGGACTCCAGCCATTCAGCACGAGCCAAGGACAGAAGCAGATGGTCAGGAGTGGGCAGCACACCTGTCCGCAGCTTTCTCTGAACAGGCCTGAGGGGGAAAACGGTCTGGGTTACACCGAAACCGTCTTACTCTTAAAGAAATATTTCAGTCAGAGTTGCTAACAGAGTTATCAGCCACGGGTTAGCACTTTGAAAGTGACACCATGATTCCTTTAAAGGGGAATTCCACCCATTTTTCGAAATTTCTGCATAATTCAGTGGTTAAAATGTTAACAGAGTGATTGAGAGTGGTTTGGTGTGAAACGGCTCAGATTTCTATACAGTGGTGGTGATAGGAACCAGAGGTCGCCATGACTACAACACAAATATATATAGGAGATTAAAATAATATAGGAGTGAATCAGAAAATGCCATTTAAAGGTATGAAAAAAGAGTGAATTTGATGAAAATTCAATGAAATTCACAGATTATGTTGCTATGGGAATATGAAAAAGCACAGTCTGCTTGAATCTGTTTAATTATATTAAATATTCATGTTACATTTTATTCTGTGTCAGTTTGCATCCTGATCTGCTCCGTTTCTTACGTTTTCAGTTGAAAATTTAAAATAAATATGCATAATCCTTTGCAGTGATGCAGAATCTTTCTCATACCTAACATAATCCAACAAAGGAAAATGATTTTGCTTCAAGATTATGCAGACCGTTCTTTAAGTCACATTAATTCCCCCAGTGCATTTTTAATATACTGCAATCACAGTAGGTAACTGTGTATTCACAGTGCTACTGTCTGGTCCGTATTGAGCAGCCCTACATATTCTGGTGCGCTTTCTTAGATTCCCTCATTGGCTTCCGCACTCAAATCAGCCATATGGCAACAAAGACACATTTTCTAGGTCAATGAGGAATCTTAATGCACGGAGCTCTGACTTCCACCACTGCTGATATTGATCCCCGGGGAGAGGCAGCGTGCCTGTCTGGGTGCTGGTCTGAGTGGTAATACAAACACTCCCGGAGATTTGGAGCCATCTGTGCGGTCACTTTAATATCTTAATGGGTGCATTTGAAGATGGACAGTCGTTTGATGCTCCCCTCTCTCTTGTGTCCTTTGATTTTTGCCTGACGGACAGCGGTTGACCTTAATTAGATAAGAGTATTTGCTTACCTCGTTAACCATGCAGCCTTTGAGTGTGAGTCCCTCAAGTGCCGTGCAGAGCCGCTGTAAAGTGGTGGCCGATACATCGTCTATACCTGCATTGATGCAGCACAGCATCATTGAGTTGTAGCGTTATTGACAGATAATGATATTGATGATAATTTACTAGTTAAGTGCATGTACATCATTTTTGGGGGCCTAAGACTTTTGCACAACACTGTACATACATACCTGTGTGTAAATATATATATATATATATATATATATATATATATATATATATATATATATATATATATATATATATATATATATATGTTTGAGTAGTTGTTTGCCATTAATCTCATCTGTCTTATTTGTTCAAATTTGGCATTAAAAAGATTTTATTCCATTTAATAAGCAGTGCATTGTGTTTTAGCTGTATGTGTGGACAAAATAAGCTTGATCTGAATATATTTATTCGTTTTAATGATGCAATAACATTATTTTCATCATGTAAATGCAGCACTTGAACGTGAAAATCACAAAATTACCACATATATGTACGATTGTGAGAAGTTCTTTACAGGGAATAAACTTAAATATGGCATTATGGCATTTTTCTGGCGCAATTTCTGAATTTAACACGAGTTTACATCATTTTTTCAAATATATTTTCACTTAGAAAGTCAACAGAACGTGGAATGCTTATGTCTATGTAGTGTGTACATATATATATAATTAAATCCAAATATATGTGTATGTAAATTTTGAGGTGCTTCATTTTCATAATAAGCTTGCTTGGATTCAGTAACCATATAAATGAAAGCCTAAGTATCATCTGACACCATGTTAATATGCCTTAATATTAATATACCGTATGTATTATATTTGGAGAATTGTCTGATATTGAGTGACTCGGTGTTCTCAGTGCTGCTCTACCTCCAGCTCTGCTTCTCTGATTGCTGGTGTGACTCTCATTCTAATCACTGTGCTTTTCTGCTTTGTCTCTGTTTTTCCCCAACAGGTTTTAGCCTATGATTGCGTAGAGTGGGTAGAGCAGAGCGGGGACCGAGGAGGAGCAGTGCCAACCTGGAACATGGTGCCTAATATTTGCCCGCCAGTGCCCTTCCTGCCTAATTGGCTGCCTCTCCTGCTTCTGCTGGGCTGCATGGCGTTTTCCTCCCAGGCAGACAGTGAGTACACAGTCTCTATCTAATAATGGGCTGGCTGCGTTTAGCCATGATGTCATCGGTTTTCTTTTCTGGGTGGAGAAGAACTGAATTATAATTAGGCTATTGTTGGAAAAGCCAATAGGAAAACTCTAAATTAAGGGAAACGGTGGTGAAAATAACTGCCACATATGTGCTATTCTGGCAGAGTGTGTCTCACCTGTTATTGCTGTTGCGTGTTTGCTTGTTTTTACTCCTGGTCAGCAGTAATCTGGCAAAAAATGATCAAATTCACATGCTTTTCACTCACACATGCTCACAACACACACCTGAAGCTTGCTTCTTTAGTTTATAGCACTGGAGCTACATGGCTAATGTAGCTTATGGCAGTTAGTGTCGTGCAAACTGGGTGCCTAAATTATCACATATTTGCATCAAACTGCATCAAGTAGAGCCTGAATGGTTGCCCGATATAACTGGCCAATATTGACGATACTCGATTTTTTTATATGTTGAAAATGCCATCAGCTGATATTGATAAAATACATCCAAATTTAACCTGTAACACAAGAACAACACGGTACAACACAAAAAATACTTTTTTTTGTGAACAGAACTGATAAAAACCAAGAAAAATAAGAGGTAATTAAGAGCAAACGAAACTGTGTTGCTCCGCCCCCAGTGCTACAAAAACGTGCGAGTTTTCTACTGTTTATATGTGTTTGGAGATGACGGTCATATTTCACTGCTCACAGTTGACAGTGGGCAGGTAGTCAGTAAAGCACTGTTTAACTGATGGAGAATAACATTAAAATTCAAATTAAATGTAAAATTATATCAATATTATTGGCTATCAGATCATTTAGCCCCTTAAAACTGGTATCAGTATCAGCCGTAACATATTCATATCATTCAGCCCCTGTTAAAGAGCCTGTATCCTACATTTTTCTTGTATTTTTTTTCACTGATCTTGTGTGAGTTGACATGCCAAAGATATTCATAATTCATTTCTATGTTTCATTTTCCAGCCTATTTTAATCCGTAGAATCAAACAGGCTGTTTTTGTTACTGTACCTTTAAGACACATATATGTAAATGAGCTCTGTTCTGATTGACTGAAACACTCCTCATCACTTCAGCATAAGTGGGTGGAGCTAAAGTGCTGTAGGCTGAATAGGTGGATATATGTGTGTTGGTGTTTGTGACATCACAAAACACCCCATTCAGAATGAGCTGTTCTTAGTTTCCTGTTTCTGTTAATGTGCCTTTAAGACACATATATGTAAATGAGCTCTGTTCTGATTGGCACTCCTCATCACTTCAGCGTGAATGGGTGGAGCTAAAGTGCTATAGGCTGAATAGGTGGATGTATGTAAATGTAATGGTGTTTGTGACGTCACGAAACCACCCAATTTTGAATGAGCTGTGTTTAGTGTCCTGTTTTGTTTACTGTGCCTTTAAGACTGATGTATATGTAAATGAGCTCTGTTCTGATTGGCTGTAGCTCATTCGGAAATGCACTCGGGGCGGAAACACTCCATATAACTTGAGCGTGAGTGGGCGGGGCTAAACTACAGCAGACTGCATATGTGGAAATATGTAAATGTGTCGGTTTTTGTGACATCACAAAAAACAATTTTCACAGTGTTTATGTGTGGAAAACAAACTAAAACGTTTTTTTAATGATATGAGCCCTTTAAGTCGTCTGTACTGGATGTGCTGTTGTGGTTTCTGACACAGTGTGACTCACTGTTATCTATAAACTTGGACCAAAGTGTGAACAAAGTGTTTGTCTATTTTTGGTCCGTGTTTATAGATAACAGTGTGTCATACGGTGTCAGAAGCCGCATAATCAAATGGAGGTCAAAGACAATATTCAGAGTGAACCTACGGAGCTCAGACAGCTCAGCAGCGTCGTTCTCTGTGGGCCACCGCGCTCCGCCGTCCTCTCGGACGACCGCTCGGGCTGTGGAGACGCAGTACGCCCGACCCGGCTCTGTCACGAGCGCTCAGGGTCGAGCTGGAGTCAGTGCTCGGCTCAGGCACGGGTCGGAGAGCCGTTTAATTCACCGCGTGACCGACCCGCACCCCTGTCACAACGATTCTGTAATTCTATTAGAGACTCTCCTCACAGTGCTCTCTTTTTCCTCCCCCTCAGACGCTGCTCTGGACCTTCAGCAGCATCGGGAGGGTTACCTTCAAGTGTCCTCCTTGACTTTGCTGCGCTGCTAACAAAAATTACAGCCGATTACAGGTCACAAAGTCGATCGTGACCCCAGTTATGGTATTTCTGAAAAGGGCTCACATATTACATTTCTCTTTTATTGCATTGCGGCCCACTTATAACATGTTTTTTTTTGGTTTATGTACCAAAAACGGCCTATGTGACCGTTTGTCTCCCTCTTTTTTAACCATTAGCATTACTGTTGTTACTGCCCCTTTAAGATATGCAAATAGGCTCTGTTCTGATTTGCTGCCCTGCGTTGTACCTCATTCAGAAAGCAGGAATACTTCTTATAGTGTCATTGTGAATGGGCGGGGCTAAACTGCTGAATGCTGAATTGGCTATAGGATATACACCGGTCAGGCATAACATTCTGACCACCTCCTTGTTTCTAGGCTCATTGTCCATTTTATCAGCTCCACTTACTATATAGGTGCACTTTGTAGTTCTACAGTTACAGACTGTAGTCCATCTGTTTCTCTTCAGTGGTCAGGACCCCCATGGACCCTCACAGAGCAGGTATTATTTGGGTGGTGGGTCATTCTCAGCACTGCAGTAACACTGACGTGGTGGTGGTGTGTTAGTGTGTGTTGCACTGGTTTGAGTGGATCAGACACAGCAGTGCTGTTGGAGTTTTTAACACTGTGTCCACTCACTGTCCACTCTATTAGACACTCCTACCTTGTCGGTCCACCTTGTAAATGTAAAGTCAGAGACGATAGCTCATCTGCTGCTGCACAGTTTGTGTTGATTAACGTCTGGTCCTTCATCAGTGGTCACAGGACGCTGCCCACAGGACGCTGCTGGCTGGATATTTTTACGGTTCTATATGGACCTATTTTCTCTACCAAAGAACCCTTGAAGAACCGTCATGTATGAGAGTGTATATAGACCTCAAGGTTTTAAATAGAAGCATTCCCTTTATCAAAGAACCCTTGAGGAACCGTTTTCAGTGATGAGGGCCCTTTAAAGCACGTCCCACGACACATTTTCACTTTTAATAAGCCGTTTTTTGGTGAAATTCACTGAAATTCATCACTTTGCACGGGGACTGAGAAAGGTCATGGTGAGAGGCAGCCTACTTGTTATTCCTTGATCATTTGAAGTGCCGCCCCAAGTGGATAAAGACTATTTACAGAGCAAATGTTATCCCCCCTTTCCCTGCTCAACTTTGCTCATCACCATAATTGGTTTGGTCCCTTATGCTCAATATTCACATGTTCCTGCTCAGCGCATTAGCATAACACATTGCGCCCTCATTAGTCCAGTCACATGCTACAGTGGCCACTGCAGGAGATGCTGATGGACTGCAAACTGTCTGGTTCCCCAGCAGCCCTGCCAACCTTTTAATTCGGAGGCAGAGCAGTCCACTCTTCTCCTTTAAGAACACGATCTGGACGATAATGTATTCATTTGGCTTAAATTTCATCGGTGTTGCACAAGCAAACACATAAAACACGAGAGGGAGTTCATACACCGATCAGGCATAGCATTCTGACCACCTCCTTGTTTCTACACTCACTGTCCATTTTATCAGCTCCACTTACTATATAGGTGCACTTTGTAGTTCTACAGTTACAGACTGTAGTCCGTCTACTTTGTTACCCTGTTCTTCAGTGGTCAGGACCCCCATGGACCCTCACAGAGCAGGTACTATTTGGGTGGTGGATCATTCTCAGCACTGCAGTAACACTGACGTGGTGGTGGTGTGTTAGTGTGTGTTGCGCTGGCCTGAGTGGATCAGACACAGCAGTGCTGCTGGAGTTTTTAAACACTGTGTCCACTCACTGTCCACTCTATTAGACACTCCTACCTTGTCGGTCCACCTTGTAGATGTAAAGTCAGAGACGATAGCTCATCTGCTGCTGCACAGTCCTTCATCAGTGGTCACAGGACGCTGCCCACAGGACGCTGTTGGCTGGATATTTTTGGTTGGTGGACTATTCTCAGTCCAGCAGTGACACTGAGGTGTTTAAAAACTCCGGCAGCCCTGCTGTGTCTGATCCACTCAGATCAGCGCAACACACACTAACACACCACCGCCACCAATTACTATTTTGAAGATCTTTGTTTTTCTTTGGACAGTGACAATATGTAAATGAGCTATGTTCTGATTGGCTGTGCCTCATTCAAAAAGCAGCCCAAACACTTCTGATTCCTGTGAATGGGCGGAGCTAAACTGCTATAGGCTTAATAGGCGAATGTGCTGGCTTTAGTGACATCACAGAAACAGGTAATAGGCATGATGAACAGGCTGTTCTTGCAGCTTATATTTTCATATGTGGACTGAAGAGCGAATCGTATATTTAGAAAAAATATCTTTAGACTTTTTAACACTTTTTTGAGAAAAAAAGGAGAACTTGGTTATATATGATATGGGCCCTTCAGAGGGGACGAAGCCTCTGAAGTCGGATGGATTAAGGATTTGTCCAGTGATTAGCATCCAGTGCGATGATTCACTCTCATGGGTATAAATACTTTCCCGTAACGGCAATGTAAGCAAATAAACCTCTAAAAATAGGCCGGAGGTTAAAATATTGACAACCACAAACTGCGGGTTTGAGCGCGGTGTTGTCTGTAATCAGCTGAGGAGCAGGACCGGGCCGGCTCGCCTCTGCTTGAATTACAGGGTGGTGGATCCAGCTTTGCTGGGTGGAGGAGCTGAACCCGCTGATTGCCACCAGCTCAGGTTCCACCTAAAAATATTCAGCCCGATGAAAGATTACAGCTGTTCTCCATTGTCGGCTCCAGCGCTCAGAGGCGGCCAGCGCTACTCAAGCTGCTAATGCAGGAATGAACG